TTTCCCTAAAAATTAGTAAATTTTTTGTCAAATTGAACTTCAACTAAACCATTTCTCATCTGGGTATAGCAAGAAAATAGAGGGTTAGAAATGGAAGCAGGAAATAACATGTGGGTATCGTGTGGACATGTGTTTTGCTTTTCAGAAAATCAAAGATAAGCTTTGAATGCAACAAAGTATGAAGAAAATATGCAATGAAATTTTGCAAGGAAACAAACAGAAAAACATTACCAGAGAGCAGTGCTGAGAAAGTAGAACTGCGCCAATGGCCTCACAGTCACACACGAGCAACCAAAGCAAATGAGATTATAAGAGTATAATACAAAAGAACAAGTTATGTAATGAGTTGATTATAATTTCTATCACTACTCAACAAAATATTAATAATTACTGACAGTTTTTTTTAAAAACGAAATTATTGATTAAGTTGAAATAATTTGTATTTAATTCATCTATCTGTTTGGTAAGTTTCTTTTTTAATAAAATTTTAAGTTTGAGTTTTTTAGCGTATAAAAATTGTATAAATAGTTCATCCTCTCTTATGTACTAATGACTATTGATTGACCATTAAAATTTTACCCTATTCGTGTACAGAAATTAAACTCAAAAGATAGTGTCCATTAATCTTAGATATGGTTAAAATAAGGTATTCGTAATTAAACCCAAAATATAGAAGAAAAAGTATTTAATTGGAAGATAGAAAATAAGTCATAAAAAATAGAAAATAAACTATTTTGAATGTTAAGGTGCAGATTTTTTTTTAAAAAAAAGTAACCAATGATGATGAAAATGCGATGATTCGATGAGAAATGGTATCATAATAATTAGGTTTAAGAGAAGAAATTATTCTTTCACAATGTGATAAGCCATTCATATTTAGGGTTGATTTTGATTCATGTATGATTATCTTTAAAGAAAGATATTAGTGTTAAAACAAAAGAAAAAAAATAAAAACATGCATGTATATAAAAGAAAAATGAATAAGTGTCGTTATTATATTAACTTTGTTAATGTTTAAATACATTTTTAGTTTATGTAAAATAAGTTAATTTTAATTTTAGTTACTGTAATTATTTTTAATATTTTTCATTCTTCTATAATTTAGAATCATTGTTAAAATGAGAATATGTGAATTTTAATCCATGTAATATATATATATATAATATTTTTATTCTTCTAAAATCTAAAGTTATTATTTTTGTCATAAATTTTATTTTAAAACAAATAAATAATATTTATCTTTAAAAATTATATAAAAACTTATTGACTTTGTGTTGAGATAATATAACATACAGTTGTAATGTTATTTGACCCAATAACTTAACCTTATAATCAATATATTAATTACCAAGAATCACATCCTAGAAATAATAACTCCAAATTTAGAGAATAAAAAACAATTTGTTTCACATAAAATAAAAAATTCGCTCATTTTTGGAAACTAAAAACACCAACATTTTGTTAGTTACATTACATGATTAGTTCTGCACTATTTTTAGATTGAGATGTGATATTCCGTACGAACAATTTGGTTGGTAAAAAGATGCTACGAATGAATTTCCAATTACTCCCTTGATGAAAGAAGGATACAGAAGATGTTTAAAAATACACAAAAAAAAAATAATAAATAAAAACAGAAACTGCTACAGAGTAGGAAATATTTACACGAAACATATGATACGTGGACTATTATCCTCTTTTTGAAACAAATAAAAATTTAAAAAGTACAGTGTTTTTTTTTCTCAGAAAACATGCATTTGTATTATTTTAACCAAATCAGCTTCGTACTAATTAGCATTTTCTAAATAAAGACTAATACTACATCATTGTATAGAATTTATACAATATTTAATTCCATTTAGATATGATTACAATTTGTATTATCTTACATAATACCAATATATGATAGTCATAATAGTAGGTACAATTTATTTCTTTTCAGTGTAGAAAGATGTGATCAGAGTGTAAGTTTTCCAACTAGAGACAAGCTTCTTGCACAATGATAAAAATCTGCAGTTGGTATGCTACAATCTACAAGGTAACAAGGTTGTGTGTGCAAAATCATCAAGGACATGCAATAAAAAAAATGAGTTTAATTCTAACATCTTAGTTTTATAATTTCATTATAATCTTTTTTAAAACAGTTATCCCATGAGGTTTTGTCATATTTTTTTTCTCATTGGTTTATGTTATCTTCATATTCTTTTGTGACTTTATGGCTTTATCTTCTAATTTCTATTAGAAGTGCTTCACAACATAATTCACAAGTAGGGCATGGTAGTTCAAGCAAACACTTGTTCACAACACATGTAATAATAATATATATGGATCACACACCACCAGTACATTGTACAAGATCAAACATCATACATTACATACACTCAGAGATATGTTTAATATTTTAGACATGGCTCTTGATGGAGGAACTGTATCCACTCTGACCATCATAGTACCTAGACCACAGCATGACACCCCCATATTTGGAAGAGTCCTTGATTGCTGGAAGCACTTTGGAAGTAAGATCATTCACATCAATGAATCCACTGCCTGCAGCCGCAGGGGAAGCTGGTAGCCCCAAGAAGATCTTGTTTGCTGGGATATCCGCAGTCCACTGCTTCCATGCATCTTCAAGGTTGGTAATTTCACTAGAGTATTGGCAAGGAGGGTTGTTGTAGAATTGGACCCAAACATTGTCAAAAAGACCTGCAAAAATGACCAGTCAACACATTATCTTATTTGACACCTAGTGAGACATATAGAAATTATAAACAACATATGTGATAAGAAAAGAGAGACAGAAAAATGATAAGGGTTGATGGGGTGTTAACAGATATAGGAGTCCTATTCTCTGATTAAAACTGAAATTTTACCTCATTGATATGTATAATAAATTATTTCATTAAATGTGTATCCATTTTATTAATATAAAATTTAAATTCTAATTAGAACATAATTTCAATAATATCCATTATATTGTATATAAATTTTGTCCTTATAATTAAAAAGAGACAAAATTTAAGTAAAGTACCATAAGAATGATTGATATTATTTTCTAATCAAAATTAGAATTTCATCTCATTAAATTTCGATTCTAATCGAAAAACAACACCAACCATACATATGATAATGTATTTAAGTTTTTACATTATAAGTAAAAGGTGTGTATATATCATATTTGTGTACCTGTCTTGAGGGCATTCCCTATCCAAGCATCAGGAAAAGGGCATTGAGGGGCAGCAGTTAAGTACACTTTTTGGCCCTTATTGCTGTACCCTTTGAGGTACCTAGCAAGGTCATCCCAATAAAGGTTTGATCCTCCCTCAATGTCAAAGTCAATGCCATCAAGAACAGCTGGTCCAAGAGGGCGAGAAGGGGATTGTCCCCCCAAGAAGTTGTTCCAAAGGTAAGTGGCCACTTGTCTTGCATCCTGAGGGGATGCAAGGGAGTAGCTACCAGCACCTCCTCCCAAAGACAGCAACACCTTGATGCCCTTGGCTTGGCATGATTTGATGTCAGAGCTCAACTTGGTGCAGCCATCACTGTAGGGGTCACAGTGCCCTGCAAGGTTGATCATTGGGGTTTGGCCATTGCCAAAAGTTGGCAAGAAGGCCAAGATGGCAAACTCATAGTTCCCTGTGGCACATGCCTCTGCTAGGGTACCCTCATTGCCATTCTGGCCCCAGTAGATTGCAATGCTGCCACTGCCAGCATTGGAACAAGTTGCTAGTGCCAACAGTGTCAAGGTGAAGAATGAGAGTGAGGTTGCCAAGTTTGACATCTCCAATTGGCAAGCAAGGTCTATTAAGCAATAAACAAGTGTGTCAATGAAAACTTTAGCTGTTTTCTTGTGCTGATTCTTCTGTCAGAGAGGGGCATTTATAAGGGTAGCATAGCATGGCTCAAATTCTTAACAGTTTCGTTGTTTTTGAACATGAGACCGTGGATTGGAAGTCACTTCATCTCATATACAGTCCCATGTTTCAGTCGTTGATGTTGACATTAGGGAAGCACCGTGCAAATTAGCCAACATCTACTGTTCTACTTGCGGATTCACAGATATCTTCTAACACATTGGAACAATGATTAATCATGCTTTCTGGTATTGTCATTGTGATTAGTCCAAAAAGTTTTCACATACAGCATAAATAAAATACAAAATTCTCTCTTAAATAAATCCTCATCAGAATGCGTCAGGACAGTATTTGAAAACAATCTGTTAGAGATTGGTGAGTTGTAAATGTGAAACTTTTTGCATTGAATTTGACATGATTTTACATTAAGCATGAAACTTGTATAGGAATACAAATCAATAGACCAGTCAAATGCAACTGAGGGTTATAATTTTTTTTAATATTAGCTTCTTCAGTGGTGGAACTACAACAACGTACGCAAAAATCTTAAAAATTGATCGGGTGAAGAAACATAAAATTTCTTATATTATCCCCTCATAAAATTTCTGCACTAAAAAAATTAAATATTTTTTAGTTCATGAATTCTTGTCATATTTTTCTTTTAGTTCTTGAACAATTTTTTTTTTTGCTAATTTAAATTTGAATTTTTATCAATTTTCACTTTTAATTTTTTAACTTTTTCTTTTGTAGACATTTTGGTTTTTGGTGTCAATTTTTTTCTATGATACCCTTACTACCCCAACACATATATAATATAATTTAATTAAGAAGAATAAACTTTCAAAGGGTTCGTAAAAGGGTTCACATAAAACTTCAAATCTGTTCTTTCTTCAATATAAGATAATGACTGAAAAATAAAACTTGAAAGATAAAATTTAAGAGTTTACAATTTTAAAATCATTTATTACAATACCAAATCCATATAAATATTCTGTCCTAGAAATCCTCTGCCCCGATGTCACACTATCAGAGCATTCCCATAATTTAACTGTTGACATTCTAGATGTCACTCGTAGCCGGATCTTCTTCACCTAAAATATCCACAGTTTATACGGTGAGAAAAGAAAATATCTATATGCAAA